AAATCATTATAGCAACAAGAAAAGAACACAAATTCCAAATGATTCATTGGCTTTGTTTTTATTTTTGCAGAATAGGATGTTTTCAGCTACTTCTACTCTATAATAAATTACCTTAAAAGAATACCTGGCCACTGCCATAAGTCCTCAGTTTAGGAAAAAAAAAAAAGGGAATTCTGAAGATTGTTGAGTACTTAATTGGTGACAATCTAGCAGGAAAATAAACTGCTCTTATTTTACTATATACATATATTATTAAGAATAACTTGATTTTGCTTAAAACAGTAATAAACAAAGGTCAGTAAAAACAAAACAGCAGACTTACTGTAATCCATGGCATGTTGACAAGGCAACATATGATACAGGATTTCCTCGTATTTTTCCCTGATAATAGCAATGTTCTCCTCCCTGAAATTGGAAATTGAGACTGTAAATCCACGGGACATCCCACAGTGTCACACTCCATCCAGTCAAAGGCTTTTTTTTCATAAACACATTGCCAAGTCATTGGCATGGCACCAAGAATTGACTGTTGCTCATAAGGATGTTCACCCCATCATCTTTGAGCCACGGTTTGATACTCAAACACCATCATCTTGACACTCGACACCAAATGGTGTGTTTCACAATTTCAGTATGGAATCCCTGACATCCTGACAAGGATTTCAGAGATAAATTACTCCAGAAGTGCTCATCCTTCTTCATTAACTAGAAAAAGAGATGGAAGCAGGGGCTCAGACTCAACATCTGCTCTGCATATGACTACATAAGACAAGATGAACTCTGCTCTGAGGGTGAGGCAATTTCCTTTCTCTTAGGAGAAAGGTATGCTTACCAAATAATAATAATCCTTGATTGGAAAAAAAGACTGAATCAGAAGTAATCATGAGTGCTGCAAAACAAATGAAACTAAGAAAAACTAAGTAGCAATGGAATACAATCAAAATGAATATTTGCCTCTTCTCTTCTGCAAATAAAATGTATACATTTCAACTAAAATCCAGCAGATTTGACTCAAAAAAATTCCACCCTTGGTCTCACTGATAGGGATGTAAGCCCTACTGCACTTGTAATAAATGTATTCAGTATTGCACAATGTCAATTTTGTATGCAAAATTAGAAACACAATTCAAACATTCCTTAAATTCTCACTGCCATCTACTCTTCAGAAAAACTTCCCTATTAGTGCCTTGCCAAATTCAGCTGTGTTGTAATGCACTAACATTGGTTAAAGGACTATGAAGGAGGTTTTCAGGGCTTTTCTTTTTTTTTTTTAAATAGCATTTATTTGCAAATACTTGTTCCAGCAAATGTATGAATAATCTACGTAGCCTAATGCACCCAGCCCTGTGAATATTTATGTCCATTTACTGCAGGGAGGGAAAGGCATTACAATTACAGCTTTTTCAGAAGCCAGCAGTCTCTTACATCACACACAGCAGTCATTTTGGACACTTGACATTAAATACTGCTGGATTTTATTTTACAAATATGAAAAAGAATAATCAAAATCAGGCTAAAGATAAGAAAATACATAGGACATGTTGTTAGTTTTCTGTTTTGATCAGGAAATCCTGTTCTGTTTTCTACAAAATGTGGAAACTATTGTTGAAATCAGCTATGAAATATGGGTGCCTCTGGTTTGTGGTGCACTGTAAGACAGCACAGGAGCCTGTTTGTCAGAGCATGGCTGCTCACAGGGAAACACACTCGACCAGCCTGGTCAATGGAAATCATTCTTTGCTCCTCAAGTTATTTTCTGCAGTGCAGCACACCTGGGGCAGGTCCCACTGCCACAACCAGCAACATCAGCAGTGCTGAGGAGAAATGCAGCCCCTGACCCCACACTGTGGCTCTGACACTCCTTGCCAGGCTGGCTGCTTCACTCTGCAAGACAATCCCTGTGGTGTATTACCTTCCATCAGCAGTGTTACACCTTTCCCCCCACCCAGTTTCTCCCAACCTCATTATTTCCTTTCTTTCACACACCATTTTTCCTTCCACTTGCTGCAGTGACTGCCCATCCACCTCGGGGTCTGTCCTTGGAGCAGACACAGGACACTGTCACCAGACTGATGTGGCCAGTCCCCACCCCTGTGCTGCCCACACGGGCACCTCTCTGATGGTTTTCTGAAGGGAAACTGGTGCCACACAGGCAATGTTTGACTCCCTGTCTCACCTTGGGAAGGAGCTCTGGAGCTGACCATACCAGGCTACAACAAAGTGTATGACCCATCACCCTTGGACCAGCATTTCTCAGCACTATTGCGCATTTGGGGCACAGATCAAGTATCAGTGAGGAGATGGTTTTAATTTTTGCTTCCTCATGTACATTGTAGCCACCTGTATTAAGTTAATTTAATTTCAGAGAGACTGCATCCTACTTGGTTTTTCCTGAAAACTTGGCTCATTTTCTCCTCCTTTCCTACACCTATTCAGTTCCTATACCTTAGCTACTTTAAGCTCTCTTCACTTGAGATTTTCTTTCTTTCAGTCTGTGGGGTGTTCCCCACTACAGGATCATGGGATTGCTTAAGGATTTCAGGTCCTTTTGGAATACGTGAATAAGAAGTAAACAAAGAGACACTCCAGTAAGCAAATAGCAAAACTAACCTCAAACTACATGGATGACCTAAAACCTTATGAGCAATGAAATACTCTCTAAAGTGTACCCTTGAAGTGGTATTCCTGTAAAAGATATAACTGGAATAAGTGCGTGAATGTGGGAATAATACCCAAAAAGACTATCAGTAGGGAGTTGTACAGACTTCTAGCTGTGGAAGGAATTTGGAGTAATTACACAAATTGGTTTGTTCTCAGAAAATGTAGTTAATATGTACCAGAAATAGAATCTCAGGCTCCATTAGTTTGCAAAACCATGTCTTTGCAACCAGGAGGAACATTTTTTCATACTAAGAATCCAGTCTGTGGCTCAAAAGTGTGTTTTGATCTTCCTAATGAGAATCAAATAAATGCCCCATGACAGTACCTCCAAATTAATTTATTCTATAATAAATCCATGGGAAAAAAATTATGCATACAGATCTAGAAAAGAAAAATATAAGAAAAACAGTTCTAAATTCTTGTTTGGGAGAAATACAACTCAGAAACACAAATTCTATTTTAATTAGTCAAATTAATTCAACTCAACAATCTACTAGAGTCCATAGTAATTCTGGTGGAGATAGAAACACAGMTCTGATCTCATTCTCAGGGACCAAWTCTTATCACTACAAAACATTCATTTCTACATGATAACATCTGGGAGATATTTTTTATGTACTTACTTATGTTCCTATCACTATAACATACGTCACTTCACACCTGTTCATAAAATTAACTTAAGCTAATAAAATTTATTTCCATTTCTTTAAATGAAGGTAGATTTTTCTCTGAGTACTTCATGCAAGAGATTATCGCAGCTGGTTAGAGCATGGTGCTAATAACACCAAGGTTGCAGGTTTTATGCCAGTATGGGTACTTAAAGCAACAAAATTCTGAGAACAGAAATGTTCAAGAAATCACTGGATGTGGCCCCCAGTGCTATGGTTTAGTTGGCATGGTGGCATTTGGTCAAAGGTTGCACTGAATGAACCTGGAGGTCATTTCCAACCTTAATGGGTCTATGACTGTCTGGTTCTGTACTGAGAGTCAGAGCACACGAAGGGACTCTACAGGTCACTTTTTCTTTGGAGCATGTGTAACATAAGAAATTTACTGTTGTCACCTCACTATAGCGATGAAGCTGAAACTGTGCTGGGTTTGACCTGTACTAAAGCTGTTTTATTGCAGGTGCTGCAATAAATACACTGCACTAGAGGAGAAATTGCAGTTTGTGGAAGATCTAAGACCACCAAAAGACTAAACATAATCATCATATCTACCTTTACTCTGCTCTTGGAAACACTGCCTGGAGGACTCGGGTTGTCTCTCTTACCTACTGGTATCTGTAGCAGTGAGACAAAAGCTGAAAAAAAACCCCTTTCTTTTTTCCTAAAAATATTCTGGTCCTGTATGAAAATTAAAACTTCCCTTAAGAGCTGAAATTAGCACCAACAACAGTCCAGCTGAGAACATCAAGGGTGTTTTGTGAAGAGCTATTGGCTTCCTGTAGCTAATGGAGCCTCTCTCTGCTCTCTCAAAAGCAGTAATTGCTCATCTCAGCAAGTCAAACCTCCACACTGGCCTTGGTCAGCTACTGGGGATGGCTCAGTGTAAGATCAGAGGAAACCAGATCTCTCTTCTAACATCTGCCAGACATAACTGTGAGAAGCACATTTACCCATTTCTGCTCTAAAACTGAACCTGGTCACTCTAGTGTCTGGGAGAAAATTAGGATAAATGTCATCTCCTATGAGACATGGTCAGCCTGGTGACAATGGCAGTGACACAAACTTGCAACACACCCAGGCACACCCTCATGCCATATCCAAAGGCAGGTTAATGCTCCAGCAGAGAAAAGCTCAACATTTTTGCCTCCACAAGGCACACATCCACGTTTCATGCTGTGGTTTGCACCATGCTAGACAAATTCTCTGCCAATGCCCATAACACTTTTTTGTCCATTTCCTTGGATGATTAAGTTATCCTTCTTGCATGAACCTTCTCAGCACAACGGACAACCCAGTGGCAATGTTCAAGGGCAGTACAGAAAATACATATTTTTCACAAGAAATATGATTATTGATTTGGGGTGCCAAAAATGTAATAACATCAAAAAAAAAATAAAAATAAAAAAAGGACCCTAGGGTCAATTAAAACAAGTTAATCATTATGATAGTGGCCAGTTCATGAGACAGTCTTCATCTTGACGCTTAAGTTGGCTAATTATAGCAAAATCCTGAATTAGGGGTATTTGCCCTGCAAACTGCTACAGCTCATCTTTACCAAGTGCAACCCTTTTGCCCATGTCAGTACAAGATTTCATGCAGCCTGTCAGGTAGGTAGTGTGGCAAAGATATTAAAAGATTTTAAGACAGATGTCAGCAACGCAAGTAAAATCCATCCCCATTTTTATCCTTTAAGGTAGTTTGTCCCTGCTTTGGGAGGCACCAGCTGCTGAGCAGACACAAAAGACATGAAAAACACATTAACCAACACTCATAATGAAGGGTGGAATAAGTAAAGCAAAAGAACAGCCCCGACAGTCATTAATGGCAGCAGTTCACTCTTCTCTGCAGTCACAGTGCAGAAAGCATCTGCTGACCATACACTGGCAGGGTTTGTTATTCGCCTCACAGACACCATGACCTTCCCAGGGGAGGAAAATAAAGATGCACATTCATCTGCTCTCTACACTGGATCTCCAAGTAAGCCGTTTTCTGCAGTAAAATTCATGCGACACTCGGGCACTGACCCTAAAATTAATACCTTCCTTCTCCTACATGTTCCTCTTTTAACACTCATTT